ATATATATCAGATCTTTTCAAACAAAATTTAGATATACTGTTTTTTGTGACTCATAGGTCTCACAGATCTGAACTTAAACGTGTTTCTGAGTCAGAAATATCAGAATGTATGAGTTATTTTGACATCAACAGATTTACAAACACAACATGTAAAAATATTTATTGCAGATGTTTCAAAATATATCAAGGACAAATGTTTTTAATTCATTTCATATTTCAACAGGTGCATAGAACAGTCACAAATGACCAGCAGGGTTTTATTACTGAAAAGAAGGCATAAAATCAAAATTACAAAATACAAAATAAATAAATAAAAATCAATGTTCACAGTCTGTCAATTGTTGCATTTTATGTCAGACACATATTAGAAATTAGAAAACTGAGGTTAGATTTGTTCAGGACATCTTGTAACTCATGCATAGAAATCCAGAACCTCTGAAGGTTCTGAGACATTTTGAAGAAACCCTCATGACCAGCAAGACAATTCATCCCTAGCACACACAACCAAGTAACTTTAGACAATGTAACAATAAAACTGTAGGTTCATTTGGCTTATTCAGATATTGAAGGTACATTATTCATTTTAAATAAATAATTATATAAATAAATTAAACATAAATTAAACTGAAACAAAAGAGGACCAAAAACTGAGCCTTGTGGAATTTTGTCAACAACATTATGTCTTTAGTACCAACCTGTGCAGGGATGTTGGATTCAGTAAGGTGGATCAGCTGCAGAGAGATAATCCAACAAAGAAAAGTCCAGCTCATGGTTCAGTGTTATGTTGTGTGGCATTAATGAGAAAGAGAAGTGTTGGCAGTCATGTAGGCTAATGGGTTTTCTCCGGGTACTCTGGTTTCTTYCCACAGACCAAAAACATGCACAATAGGTTGTCTTCAGGCCCAGTCCTTGCATGCAAACATAAAGCTCTGTGATCTGAATGGGATTGTCCTGGTTAAATAAAGGTCAATCAGTGACGATGTTATCATAATCAACAAGAAAAGTTACACAAATGTAACAGTACCATACTTTCCTGACAGATCTTATAGCAGTAAAAGTCTTTGTGGTGTCTGATGTGAACATGAAGTTGTTGCTGTTGTTGAACTGTTGTCGTCACCCAGAACTCCATCAGAGGTTCAACAAGGCAGTTCTCTCTGCAGACACGGCCCTCTTGCCCCTGACAGGCATGTGATACCTCATTTCCTTCCAAAACCTGGAGGAAGGACAGAGAGACGGTGACAGCTGTGAGTCCTTCCCATCTTTGTCCTCGTCCCGTCTCCACCTCACACATGTCCTCCTTCTTTGGATCTTCTGGAGGTTTTTCCACCAACATACAGCRCCCTGCTTCTTCCTCAGGTGGCGCACCGACTCTGGGAACAGAGCCAGTTGTTCTGCAGTGATCTGCTCCAGCTCAACCAGAACCACCTGTAGAAGAAGAGTTGGATTAATCAGCAGGCTTTATTAAATCTACACTCAGAGACATCAGAGTCAGTGTTTGGACCTTGAGGGAGCCCTCCAGCAGCGCTCTGTGCATCGCTGTCACACATTCCAGCTGCTGCCTGGTGTCTGACAAGACTTCATCACCTCCATCCAAAGCCAGGCTGCTGTCGCTGCTCCTGCTCTCTGTTTYCTCCTCATTGTTCTTTGAAACGTTGTTGTTGTTACTGCTGCTGCTGCTTGTGTGTCTGTGGCTGATAAAAGTAGAGGCGGTGTAGAGCAGAAGGACACGGCGACTGGATTTAATGTTCTCATCCACTGAATCCACCATGGCTGCAGGGACAAGCAGGAGAAACTGAGTGTGCAGAATAACAGAATAAAAACTGTTTTCACAATGAGGGCAAAATATTTGAGTAATGTTTTTATGAATTTGAGAAATAATTTAGATTTGTGGTAATAAATGAGGTATCTTGATCATGACTTTGCTCTATGGCTGGTATAAGTGAGGTATAGGGCTAAGTCCTCCCTTGTATCAAACTTTGTGAAATTTACAACAAAATTTGTGCCAAACAGTCTGAAGAAAATCCCAGAATATTTCCAGTGCAAACATTTCACAGCTCTGTGTACTTAATGTCTTTGGTGGTACAGAATGATTGACAGACATCTTGTTTTGCAGCTCATTGGGAATAATTCTGTTCAGCCCAGGATCARCCCAAACCCACAGGTTTTACCCAGTGAGAGTGGACCTCGAGTGCGAGTGGTTGTGGGTGTGGTTTAACGTAGATTGAGTAGGTGCAATGGAGAGTAAGGTCGACATAAACGAGGTGGATTATTGAGGTTAACAGGAGACAGGCCAAAGCAAATTAAAATCCAGCGAAAGGAAAAGCAGCAAAACCAAAGATTTTTTTGTGATCTTGTTTCAGTAAAAGGACTGGCTAATGGCAAGTGTAGCGAACAAGTCTCTTATCTGCTTTCTGTGTTTGCTCTTTCAAAATTATATATCTGTTAGCCAACCCTACCACCACCAGCTGCCACTGCTTTGCACTCATAAATGTAGGTAAATTCTAAATTAGAAAAGAATATCAATGTGATGTTATGCAACAAAATAACAATCTGAATGTTTGAAACAATGTTAATAAACTGTTCAAAAAAACATCAGAGTCAAAGTTTAAATAGTTTTACAACTGCAGTATTTACAAAATAAAGCAGTGTTTGATGAAAAAATGTATTGCAGATCTACAGTAAAACATTAATTTACTGCATTTTGGGTTTGAGTTTATACAGTGTCCATGTAGAGACATTGGTTAAAATATTATCTTGTGACAACATGATGATAGTGAGTGGCCACTTCAACCTGGAAGGACTCATACAAAGACCGACTGGAATTAGGAGGTTTATTGACATGACTGAACCGACAATGTTATTGACATGACTGAACTGACATGATTATTGACATGACTGAACTGACATGATTATTGACATGACTGAACCGACACTGTTAGTGACATGACTGAACCGACACGGTTATTGACATGACTGAACCGACACT